AGTAGAGTTATCTAATCGATTAAAAAACAAGAGCGAATAGATATAATTTTATTTGATACAGTTGTGAAAAGTTCTTCCGTTGTTTATGCAAGCTTGATTATAGGCCATATCATTGAATGGCGATGTTTTAGATGCTTAGTCAAAGCTGACGATTTATTACTAAATATTGTGATGTTGATGTGATTGCTCAACGTGAGTTGAAGCCAGAATGATCCGATATTTCCAGAGCCAGAACCGACATTTACAAATGCATTTTTTTTCTCTCTCGGTTCCTTCAATACCAGTTTTTTTACTGAATAATTCCCATTATATTGTTTAGTTACGTAACTTTATTTCTAAACCATTATAGTAAATTTTACTATTTTTAACCGTTTATTAGAAATTAGATATGAATAAATTACAACGGTAGGTCATCTCTAAATAACTTTGATGCAATCTGCTTGGCGTTGTCAACTAATTTCATTCAATTGATGAATATATAAAGATTGTGAGCACGGCAGCGAACAGAGCTGCTTGGTTGGTTGCCAGTTGACGCCGTGAGTTAAATTTTTATTGTTAAATTTTTTATATTGGTTTCTTACTCAAATGAATATATATACTAGAACCCAAAACATTTTCTTTTGGATTTATTATATTCTAATTGAATTATGCGGGATTTCAAAGGAAAGTGTCAATTGGGGATTTCCAAGTACTAAAAAAACATTCCTGGAAAGTACATGCCAAATGAACTCACCATGAAATATTGAGTGAACTCTTATTAACAGTTTCGGGAGAGACTATATTGTGTCTTACTTTTAATATCAAAAGATAACCGCTATGCCTCATGAATTTCAATGAAGCACCGCATGCAAGGTATGATTCATTAGGCATTGTGCATTTAGCTTGTTAATTTTTTTTTTCAAAACATATAGATAGTACCGATGTCGAATAGTTAACTTCTTTGCAATGTCCTCTCTAAACCACGGGGTTGCTTGATAAACTTCTTCCAAGCAAGCACACATGGAGGGAGCTGATTGCAGTATTAGGCAGGAGCAGCGGGCTCATAATAAACGAGAAACAAAAATGCTGAATGACAATCGAGTTTTTTGGTAGGATGAGAATTTCAGCATTTCTTATCAGGTGCAAAACCAGTCACTTGCTGACTGAAGAACTTGTCTGCCGGCTGTGCGAGCGCAAGCTCATGGCCGCACCAATGCATATGTGACCATCACATACATTTTCTGCCCGAATCTTAAAAGTGATTAAAGTTCTCAGGTGCTTACGAAAATAGAAAAGTCATAAGCGTTTGAATGGCACTAGGTACAATTTCTAAGCTAAGGAATCTCACAGCAGAAAATTTCCTGAAGCTAAGGGAGCTCACAGCAGAAAAGTTTTAATGCTTAGTTCGTATTTGTTAAGGATACAAATACACTGTGGATGGATGGCAATGAGCCTCGGACTTGGTGGAGTGCGTTTTTTCTTTAATTAACATGAGCGACGAGTTAATTGAATAAAACTGCTCCAAAAAGCATCACGATAGAGCGCAACGCTGCGCGATATCTAGTAGAGTCGAGTATGTGAAACCATATAATGATGACTAATTTAAATTATTGGTAATAATAAGGAATTTCAATTTATTTAGGATAAATCGCAAGATCAACCTAACAATATTGCAATGATACTAATCATATTACGGGTAATTTACGTAGTTACCTTTAGATCTCTGTAGTCCATAAATGTGTATAGTGCAAAGATGGCTCGTTTGGTCAGCAGCTTTTAAGCCAGAAGAAAAATGTCCCGCTACAACTGCTGGCTAAGAGCTTGGATATAGGCTTAAGGCCGTACGCTCTGGCATGCTGAACTGCATGCTGGGGGTTGCGCAGTATAGTCAGCTCACCTGAACAAGTATTATTTCTCTGCCTTTCATTAATACTTCATACGCTTGTAAGGTATATACCTACTCGTGTAAGCTCATGGCACCCATATACTGCTTCTTACTTAGGTTTTTTGCTTCACTCATTGAATGCCATTTGTTTTCCTAGCTCTTACCAACAATGATATGCATTTTCCATGAACGTAAACATGAGGACTGGGTCCTCCACATGCTGAGCATTTGAACCCTATCGAAGAAAATTACATACTTTGAATATTTTATCAAAATTATTATATATTTCAGGTCTTGAGGTTCAAGGCCAAAAAGCCTCTAAATTAGGAATGTACTAAAATAACGTAGAGAATACTGAGAGGGTTGGTATGGGTACAAGCCATGAGTAAATGCCAATTGCAAATTCTGCGAGGATATTTTAATGTCAGTATGTTGAAGCTATGGTAAGCAGATGACGAGTCTTGGGTCCTAATACTGAAACACTGCAGGCGGCTGATGTAGAGAAGCTTTAAAAAGCAGTAGGTTCTGAATGCATCCACTCACTATCGTAAAAACGTGCACCGAAACACAAATTAAGGCCTTCAACCAGGAAAAGTATTATATATGTCTGAATTTTTCGATAGAATTTTCCGGAGTTAACTATGAGGTTCACCCGCATAAACTTGATATTATAAATTGATAAATTTAATTGATAAATTTATTAGAATTAATCCATGCACCAATGCGTACAAACAGGAGAATTAATATTAATCATAAGCACAGATATATTAGGCATGAAAATATCGATTATGATATGATTTTGAGAGAAATTTAATCATAAACAAACTTAGGACGACAATTATTTTCAGAGTAACTCCAATTATCCACTTACTGAATACAGCTTCCTATTTACGCGATGTTTGCATATTTTACAATTTGCAAAGGTCGCCTCATGCCTTTCCTTGTATTCAAGTTCTCAAGATATGGTAGACACGCATCCATGGGGCGGGTTATTTTATTTAACAGACATGCAGGTGCGCCAAGTCTGCACACGGGAGCAATGGTCTGAGCGGGAGAAGCTCGTTTCATGCGTTTCATTCTCTTCCATTTCTGCGGGACCAGTCAGTCGGGTTGTGCTGCTGGACCGCTTTGATCCGCTGCACCTGTGAACAGCATTGCTGAACCCACACGATCGTCGCCACTTCGCTCGGACCTGACCATGCAATGCAATGTTCCTCCCTACTACATTGGGTGATGACGTGGTATAAAATTTGGCGAGGAAGGTTCGGCGGAGAAGTAGCAAAGCCGGTGAAAAGAGGCTTTCGAATCTTCTTATGGGATGATGGAATAAATGTAAGAAATATTTTGGTGTTGATGCGAAGAATCCGTAATAGTTGCATCAGGGTTGGTCTTATCTCCGTGGCAGGACAAGAATACAGCAAGCGATGTTAGGGATGAAGACAGTATGAGGAAGGAACAGAAAAAGAAATTATTCTTACTTTCGACGGTGAAAAGAAGGAAATGAGCCTGGTATTACTTTTTTGTATTTTGAACCAATAAAAATTGCAGAAACATTTATTGAAATTTTCTTTAATGCAGAGACGTTACTGAACTCCCTGTTCTGTTGCCACCAAAAATGTAGTTTATTTGTAGGTTAATGTAAATACAGCATTTCCTTAGGAGATGTTCTTGACTAGAATGAGCGATGCACCACGCAGGTTAACAGATACGAGGAAAATGATTACAACTGTTAATTAATGGAATGAAGCGATAGGTTTAATATGATTCATTTTCCTTGAGTCCTTATCTCAGTACAAGGATTGTTAGCCAAAACATGAGGAACCTTGCCGCAAAAAATTGCTCCTTAGCAAAAACGAACGAGTCATTCTCGTTTGTGTCGGCCGGTTGGTGGTTAGAAGCGGTGCTTGCCGTTCTCAAGTGTCATATTCATCTTTCGACTCCGAAAATGCTGGTCTTCTATACTCTTTGCAAAATAACAGCTATTAACGATATATTTACTGGGCGTTATACATGTACAACTCGAGAAAATAAAGGATACACATGTTCGTTAACTGATAGTTCAGTGGCTGCTGAGGTTCTTTAGAGGATAGTACTGAGTTCTGCTGAGGATAGTTCTGAGGCTGCTTCTCCAGGAAGTACAATTAAGGATTTCCATGTCCTGAAAGCTTGAAGGTTTTATCAAACGTTGAACTTCTGATTGTCTTTTTTTATAGCAAGACGCTGATATTAAGAAGTCAAAGTAGTGAGTAGATTTCATGTGCGACTTTTATGTACCAATTTCATTAATTGAAATGAAATTATTACTTTACTGGGAGATCGATCGAAATCAACGATTGTGAATTTTTTTGTCATTGCACCTATCCTACAGACGGCACGAAATTAGTGGCATTTAATGCCGTTCGTTGCAACATTCTCAGGGCGTAAGCGTCTCATAATGTAAAACGCACATCAATATGTCTCAATTCTGCACTCTTGTACTGACGGACGTAATATCGCTCGATTTGAGAGGCTCGTGCAGTTAATATCGTAATATCGCTCTTGATTGCAGTTGTTGGACCGCAGGATCAGTTGCGACTGATTGCATGCCGGGGACTTTCAGTTGAACTGCGAACCAGATCTTGCAGACGCTACTGGATTACGTACGCCTGGCCTGGCCCTTGCATGCGCAAGTTTCCGCTCCCTGTCCCCCCAGCCCACCATTTCTAGGTTGACTTAACCCTTGATGCGAATAATATGTGGGGCGTCTAAAAATTGTGACGTATTAACGAATAATCAAGCGAACTCCAAACATGTATGGCAAATGCCCTGATAATTATCAACTCGCTTTCACATAAAAATATTTATAGTAGGTGCATCGTAGTTGTGGTCTGAGCGCACGGCCTCTCTAGAAATTCTTTTCCATTATTAATTTTTCAGCTCATGAATCGTAAGGTCCTGTAAGCTGTACATAATCGTTTGCAGTATCGTTTTTAGCGCTTAGTGCATTTCACACCGGACATCATCACGTTGTGATAATGCAGCATGTAATAGTGGAAGAGCGTGCCCGCAGTCATTTAGGTTAGTTTCTTCTCATTATGGTGCTCAAAATATTCATAAATTCAAAGCACAGCAGAAGTATACTGTAATAAAACAATAATTATAAGCATGAAATTTTATTGCAAAGATGCGGGGAGTCACTCAGTCGGTAGAGGAAGCAAGTTTTCTTGCAATAACCACTCGTGTCAAGAATAAGCAGTTATAAGGTAGGCAGCAAGGCCGAAAGTTCACCTAATAAATAAGGCTATTCAATTATTAGTATTAAGGCAATTTTTAGCTTGACCGACATGATTATCCGACATGATTTTCTAAAATGATTGTTGACCGCAGTTCTCCGAATGAAGATGGCTTAATAACTTAGGATTAAGAACGCTATTTCATTGGCTAACGTCAACCCGGGTGCCTTTCAGTTTTCATTTGCATTTCATTTCCATTACTGTTCTGAAATTCAACATGCTTGGCGTCTGCGATGTTTTCGACGTGTTTTTAAATTAGGCAAATTTACAACGAGTGATACATTTTGGGTAAATAACAACGTAAAGTGGAGACAAACGGCAGGAAACCTTCGTTCACACTCTGGCGCGGTGAACTTTGAAGGTGATTGACGTAAGTTTAATGACCGTACAATAGAAGTGAATTGCTATCAATTTCATCACTCAACTTAACATGAAGTAAATAAACTTGAAAACTGATAAAGAAATTAAACTCTGAATTGTGGTAAAATTAATGCAATAGTTTCAACTATAAATCTTCGATTGTATCATCGTTTTGATGCCAGGAGTCAAATTTATGACTGCAGCTAACTTACTCATTCAGGTTAGTAGATACATTGTTATAAAAATACAGTAAATAATTGACTGCATATTATCATGCAATTTACAGACATTTACAAACGGTAAAATGAAAAACACTACCTGACCTAAAATTATGACTCATTCCATGAGTCGGGTAAAAAATTCAACACCATAACTTTATCCAAATATTTCTTCGAGAAAATGAACGAACGACTCAAGTGGATGTCTTTGGCGCTTCTATCAAACTATTCGCAGATAATCTCTTCCCATGAAATCTGGTTAGATTCTGGGGAGTTTATCATGTTCATGTACAGCACACCATGCACCAACTCGCAATACTAAATTGCTTTGGAGGCAAGCGAATTATTACAAGTTCGAGCTACACAGAAACCTACGCGGAGTATTAGAAAATTTTCTATATAGATGAATCGTAGGCCATGAACTAACGGCACACTTATTTGAACGAATAATAAGAAACGACTGATTATTTTACTAGGGTTCTGCCAGGTGTCGGATTAAGCGATCGGGATGAAACCCGATTTTTACGTACGGGTTCGCCCGAGTCAGAAGTTTTTGATGTTGAAGAGGTAGTGGGGCGCATGAAGGCGGGCAGGGTTCTGCTGCAGCCTGGCGCTGCCGGAGGTGTAGTCGACACTGTTTTCCGAGTGCTGATGCTGGTACTCGTTTTCGTAGGCACCGCTCGAAGGCTTGATAATTTTTCCGAAAGAGGGGCTTTGTCTCGAGACCCAGATACCGATGCCCGCGGCGTCGGAGTCGCTCGTGTGGTGCCAGAACGACTGTTGCCGGAATTTGATCTAGAAAGGTTTTCTTTTGAGCTTCCCGAATCTCCTCGCTTAACTTTAGCGGAGCTAGAGCTCACTGATCGCGGCTGAGTTATCTTGGAATTTAGAGTTGCAGCTCGAGGCTGAACTGGTACCAACGGCCGCTTGGTTGTAGTTATCAAGCGAGAACTAGAAGCGTTGGATACACTGCGCGTTGGTGCTTTACGTACAGAACCATCACTTGACTGCCTACCTATTGAACCTACAGATCGAATTGAATCGTTTCTAGACACAGGTCGAGAAGATATGGGGCCATTAGAAGTGTAAAAAGTGCTTGATGTTCGTGCTTGGCCGTTCTGAGTGGGCGCAAGGTGGCTTGGCTCTGCAGCCAGACCACGTCTTAAAGATTTGGTTAAATTTTTAAATGGAGACGAATAATCTGATAATTTTGATCTATTGCCCGAATCCGACCGGTTGCTAACTACACTAGCATTGCTCGGGGAGTTTGATAAAGGCCTGGCTGGTTTAACTGTATTTACTGACGTCCCAGAAGCGAGAGACGACCGCGACGAACGAAGGCTGGCATGGGAACTGGATTTATCAACTCTATTGCTATTTGGCGACACATCAATAGAGTTATCGTTGCTAGTGCGGCTAATTATGCCCTTTAGATCATTCATATAATTTCCATTGTGATATTCCTGGTTAGCAATTTCTGATTTGAGGCTGATCGTGTCTTCAAAACCTTCATCTTTTTCATCCTTTGAAGAGCCCCTGCCATTTCTCACGGACCCGGGTCTGGCTTCACCCTGCCTCCGGCTTGCATCCTGAACACGGAGACCTGATGCCAAGGCTTCTCTAACGTGATTCGGATCGATGGCGCTTCGAATCCTGTCTCCTCTTCGCGTTCTTAAAGATGGAGCCGTGGCGGAGGAGCTTAAAGTACGGAATGATCCGCGAGCTTCAGAGCCTCGGGCCAAGAAGGAATCTTGATTTTTCCTTTGCAGTCTTTCTGAAGCAGGAGGCTTGGGGTCGTTGCGGAAGCTACTGCGAGTTGCTTTATTAACATCGTACTTGTCGGAACTAGGGAACAGCTTGCGCGTAATCTTGTTCTTAAGGGAGCTCTCGTCTTGACTTTCATCAGCATCCAGCTTGTAATCTTTTAATTTCTGCCATCGTTTTAGACGTGAATCTTTATCGTCAGCATTGCTTGTGATAGAAACGCTTTGCGCAGCGTCCAAAATGTTCGTTGATAGCGTCTCCCGCACCGCGGACACAGGCACGTCGGGTTCGCTTAACATTCGTGCTTCGGGTTGACGGTCTTCATTGTCTTTTCCCTCAGAGCGGTCAACACCTTTCTTGTGGCGCAAGGTTTTTCTCACTGATGCAAACCTTTGGAAATTTCCGTCACCCAACTCATCACAAGCATCGCTCTGTTTTTGACGGAAAAGCATTTGTTCCGTTTCACTGTCGCCATCTTTAGCCAGGTCAGCCAATTTCTTGAATTTCATCAGCCTTTGTGAAGGTAAATGAGAGCTTGGAGCCTCACCCTCTCCGTCACTCACGCCCATGCGATTTTTCTCTCCGTCGAGAATTGCTTCTCCCACAAGCGCCTTTCTTCCTTGGCTCGTCATGCTCCTGAACTTGCGATTTTCTCTTCGCTTTTCGAACTCGTGGTCTTCGTCCACGGTAGATTGTGCCACCCAGTTATTGGCATTGGGTGATTTAAAGCTCCGTGTGCCATCGGCTCTCCTTGTCACGGGAGGCGTCTCGATGTTTTCAGCATCAATGTCGTACTTATCATCCCCTTCGTCTTCCCGTGACAGTTGCCTCATATGACGAGGCAGAGATGCCTGACGACCTAAGCTCACGGTAGCTCCCCTAACTTGATCGTTTTCTATGTTAGAATTGTTAACGTTGCAAAGGTCGTCAGGAGCTTCTTCATCCAAAGACTTGAGTGTGCCTGCAAGATGCGAGGTATCCATGTTACTGCGCAGACGATCCTGCAGTGCATTGCGCAGAGTACCGGGAGTCATGGTGCGCTGGTAAGCCTTCTTCTCGCGCCGCTTCTCGCCAGCGGTAATGTCTCGAGGAACATCAGGCTCATCGTATTCCGCCTGCACGAAACGGTATAGCATTTGGCTGGTGAACTAAGGAAAATTACAGGCAAACAATGTTCCCGAAACAATGCAAGGTTTTTCCTATTCATCGTAACGCTCCAATGTTATCACAGGAAATTTTTATATGAAATACGAACAAATGTATTGATAAATTTAACATTGAAACGGGGTAGCGCGTGTAAAATGTAAATCAAATAATTTGGTTATATTTACAGGGTTGTTCTGGATGATGGACCCAATTTAATAAATTCGTATTTATTTAAGTTAAAATTACAAATGAATAACTTATACACCAATGGAAAGAAAAAGATTCAGTTTTTTAATATATTTGTACATGTTCAATAATATCTCTTGTGCTGACTAGCAAACATCTAAGCGGTCCATCATCTATAATAACCTTGTACATCATAATTTTCCATCATTTTACAAACCGAATTGGAGTTCTTAATGAATGATTCTCATTATTAATAAACCTCCGAATGTGTCTAGCAATTTTACGTTACGCCAACTTTCTTAATTTCCACGCCTACCGTCTTCCTAAACATATTTAGCTACTTTTTAACTACACGTAGCAATAGTTATGTAGACGACCCTACAAATAACTATTCCTGATTTCTATGCCTACTCCCATCTTATCGATATTTGACTACTTCTGAACTACACATAGTAATATTTATGTAGACGACCCAATAAATATCTATTCCAGATTTCTATGCCTACTCCCATATTATCGATGCTTAGATATTTCTCAACTACACATAGTAATATTTGATACAAATTACGCAAAAAAAACACGCCCCTCGTACCTTCTCTATGTTCCTGAGCATGTCAGCCGAGACGTCGACCGCCTGTCTGTACTGGTCCAGGAGACTGGCGGCCGGCGCTGTTCTGGCCGCAAGCCCTGCAGCAACAACAAACAAACTCTAACTAACTGCAGCAACAAACTCTAACTCAACTTTTTTATTTCAACAACAAACTCTAACTCATGCCAGTGAAATAAAACGAACAATAAGGCGCATTAGGTGCTAGCATGGAATCACAGAATGACGAGTGACGAAGGTTCAAACTTCGTTATGTTAATTCATGTTTACAAAAGATAGTATTTTTGTTCATGCAAGAATGGGTTTGGGTTGAACGAGAGAACACTGAAACGTACTTTTGTATCCTCTTACCTGCTGGCTATAAATTGAACTGGTAGGATCAGATCAGAGTTACAATCAAATAAATTATTATAAGTAAACCCAAAATTTTAATGCAAGTCACTTTAAAACTATCGCAAGCTGGCACAAAATGAAACTGAAAAAAATGAAATTTTTATTATGCGATTTTGTCCTCAATGATCGGTTGAGTTACCGTCAGATGCTTTCCCTTCATGGGAGGGGTGCCTGATGTACAGCTTGATGGTGTCAGAGTCCGCAGTGTGGCCCAGGTCGTGGATGAGGGAGGATCTGCGGCTCTCTGCATCATCTGCTCCGTCTATGGATGCCTGTAATGTTAACATTAGTTAGAATATTTACATTAAAGGGCATAATCCAAAATTTCAATTAAACTGAAGGCAAAAGAACATTGGATATATTATGCGTAGGAGTTTAGCTGAACTCAAAAATGTACCTACGCCATTCGTTCGAAAGCACCTCACCTCAGGTGAGGCGGGACAACAAGGAGAGCACCTCACCTCAGGCGAGGCGGGACAACAAGGCGAGCACCTCACCTCAGGTGAGGCGGGACAACAAGGAGAGCACCTCACCTCAGGCGAGGCGGGACAACAAGGAGAGCACCTCACCTCAGGCGAGGCGGGACAACAAGGTGCACCTCACCTCAGGTGAGGCGGGACAACAAGGAGAGCACCTCACCTCAGGCGAAGCAGGAGTGCCCGCGGGTCGGGATCTATGGCGACGAAGGCGACGAGCGGCGGTTGGCGCTATCGAGGGAATAAAATGTAAACGAAAATAATAGTAGAGCGAATCTAGGAAAAAAACTGAAATTTATAAAATTTGGAACCAATATTTTATATGCAATTAAGCTAAATAGAAATAACTAAAATATGGTAGGGAGCTATGGCAAGAATTATCGTAGACAGCTTTGTAAGAAGAGTTATCAGTAAAGTGGTATCGTTTGAAAGAAATACCCAACAAAACTACTCGAACCAAGTAATACTGAAACGTGATAATCATCATTTTATTATGCTTTAAAGCACGACCAGAAAATCACATACTTCTTCTGGGATACTTTGCTACAATTTAGACGGCTTATGCTTGTAGATACAAGCAGTGACACGCAAGCTAAAAGGTTCGAGTGACCAACCTTCAGTATCACAGTTTAGGACGGCCTCTTCACACGAGTTGGCGACATTAAGGTTACTCTTGCGCCACGACGACTTGTCGCGGTCTGACTTGCCTGCTGGCGACTGTACTTCTGTATGGAACAAGCAAATTATGAATAATCACAATACAAAAATTTCGAAAAATAACAGAACCTCCACAAAAATCACACACGATAACAGATTATATGTGTTTCCGGAGAACTAAAATTTTTATTTTCAAAGTGTCAGTTGTAATAACAACAACCACAAGATCAAAGAAGTCTTTAATTGCCAGATGTATAATCCATATCGGACAAGATAAACACGTTAAGATTTAAGAAAGCATGAAACTGCAAGATAAAGGAACAGTGTAACTAGAAGCCACTTCCATTATTGCCAGAACATTTACCGGCGATGGCCTCCATGGTTGCGATGACGTCGGTCTTGTCGACCGACGGCCGCCAGTCCTTGTACACGCGGCGGTAGGGCGTCGGGTTATCAGGGGCGTCGTCGTGATGTTCGACCAGCGTGCCCAGGCTGGGGCTCGGGCACACGGGTGACGAGTCTGTGCAATGCATTAACGTCAGCGAGCTGAATGTTGCTGCATAACTGTGCGAAGGTTAATGTTTATTTCTATGAGTATAAAGCTTCTGTGAAGCTCTGTGTGTTCTTATCTTCTATGATAGAGAGCTTCTGTGTCAAATACTGGGAAAAATTGGAATGAGTGAAAAATGTATGAGGCTTGTGAGAAGTATGTATGTGAATACTAGAGCAAAATATAGACTTGGGGATATTGAGACGGACTGGGTGAGGAGCAGGAGAGGCGTACGGCAAGGCTGTATCCTGTCTCCGCTTCTCTTCAACCTCTACACAGCAGAGATGGCCACGAGGGTGAGGAGAATGGATGTTGGTGTGCGTGTAGGCGGCGAAAGGTTAAGAATGCTTCTGTATGCTGATGATGCTGTGATTATGAGTGAAAATAGCGAGGAACTGCAAAGTATGCTGGACTGTGTGACTGAGTATGGGAGGGACTTCAATGTGCGATTCAGTGCGGAGAAGAGCCAAGTACTTGTTGTGAATGGATCGATTGAGGATATGAGCAGAGTGTGGATGTTGGGAGGGAATGAGATTGTTAGGACAATTGAGTATAAGTACTTAGGGATATGTGTGGACCATGAAGGATGTCAGAGAACAAAGGCCGCGAATCTAAGTAAGGCAAACCAATGGTTGGGTATACTTGGAAGTGCAGCAAAAGTGAGAGCGAGTAAGTATGAAGTATTGAGAGAAGTGTGGAAGAGTGTAGCAGTGCCTAGCATTATGTATGGATTGCATGTGATAGCATATAGTGATGGCGAGCTAGATAAATTGGAATTGGTACAAAATAGAGTGGCGAGATTGGCACTAGGAGCCCCCAGGTGGACTGCAGTAGAGGCCCTGAGAGGAGACATGGGTTGGAGTACCTTCAAGGAAAGAAGAATGAGAGCAGTTTTGATCAAAATATGAATGTATGTATGATGGTAGTAGAGGTGGGGACCTTCTGTTTTGTGTTAGGGCAGGCGCGCTAGGTGTGAATGGACATACATACAGGTGGAATGAAAGGAGAGAAGATAAATGTTTTATGTGTGATGGGGATGAGAAGGAAACTGTAGAGAGCACTTGTTGATGGAATGTGGGGCGTATGAGAGAGAGCGTCAGTCTATGATAGAGGTGATTCTAAATGAGAGAGGTGAGACTAACGAGGTGGGGCATGAGAGAACAAGCGAAGAGTGGATGGCGATAATTACGGGTCTGTCTGAGGGAGCAACTGCGGATATGCTTGAGAGTGTGAAGAGATATTTGGAAAACGTGTGGAGGATGAAGGAGAGGAGGTGGATGATAAGAGTGGAGTCTTGAGGAATGGAGGGTTGTGAGAGGGGAGGGTGGAAAGACATATATGACCGTGCCGAATTGTTTTAGCACGTTGTTTTACTTTTTTGGGATTGTCAAATTTTTATATTTTTTCTTAGGACAGCTGTGAATATGGTATATTTGAACTTTTTTGTTAACATAAGAGTGTGAACTTTTAATTCTTTTTGATGCTAGTAAAAGTTTTTAGGCAGCGTGTATGACCGATTTAAATGTCGTGACCTAGGTCACCACGCACCCCAATTCCAATTCCATAAAGTAAAGTGTATTTGAATATGAAGTGGTATTGAGTATTTCGTCAGTATAATACGTCACGTGAATTCGTAGGAGAAGAGTTCGGGCAACGTATCAATATGAGCGAGCTGAATGTTGCTGCAGAACTGTACGAAGGTTAATTTTTATTTCTATGAGTATAGAGTAAAGTGTGTATGAGTGTTTGAGTATGAAGTGGTATTGAGTATTTCGTCAGTATAGTAAATCGCGTGAATTCATAGAAGAATTTGTGCAATGCATTAATATGAGCGAGCTGAATGTTGCTACAGAACTGTACGAAAATTAATTTTTATTTCTATGGGTATAAAGTAAAGTGTATTTGAGTATGAAGTGTTATTGAGTATTTCTTTAGTAGATTACGTCACGTGAGTTCGAAAGAGGAGAATTTGTGCAACGTATCAATATGAGCGAGCTGAATGTTGCTGCAGAACTGTATGAAGGTTAATTTTTATTTCTATGGGTATAAAGTAAAGTGTATTTGAGTATGACGTTGTATTGAATATTTCGTCAGTATAGTAAGTCACGGGAATTCGTAGGAAAAGAGTTTGGCAACGTATCAATATGAGCCAGCTGAATGTTGCTGCAGAACTGTACGAAGGTTAATTTTTATTTTTATGAGTATAGGGTAAATTGTGTATAAGTATTCGAGTATGAAGTGGTATTGAGTATTTCGTGAGTACAATACGTCACGTGAATTCGTAGGAGGAGAGTGTGTGCAACGTATCAATATGAGCTAGCAGAATGTTGCTGTATGACTGTTTGAATATTATTTCTATTTCCATCAGTATATTGCTTCACTTGAATTTTTTTATTAAAGTATATAAATATAAGGAGGTCACGCTAAGTTCTTTAAACGATACATTGAAAACCAAATAATTGTTGAAGGTAAAAGAGAAGCAATGAAAATATAATATAAATTAGAAAGCGCGTAAAGTGAGAGTTCCGGTAAAACTCTATAGCGAGGTGAATAATTCTTGTTATCAAACACTAAAAATTACTCTTAAATCTAACGCACTCATAAAGACCACAATTTCAAACAAAAAACATAAAATTTTAACACATAAAACAGGTATTAAGTGTAAAAAAAAAGATCAAATTACACCCACCCATGTGAAGACCACAATTTCAAACAAAAAACATACAATTTTAACACACATTTTAACACATGCAACAGGTATTAGAGCGTAAAAAGATCAAATTACACCCACCCATGGAGGAGGCGTTGTCGAGGTCCAGCGATTTCCTGTGGTGCTGCAGGCGGCGCTTCAGCTCAGCGCGCTTCTCCTCCTTCTCGTTCTCCTTGAACCAAGACTCGATCTTCTGACGCCAGTTTTTGCTAATATCAAAGCGAGAGATGCTTAGATTCATCAAAATAATTGCAAAGAACAAATATATAGCATGAAATAGCAAACAGTTTTTTTATTTTTACGGACAAATATTTATCTGACAATGCATTATCACGCCTCACACTTAAAAAAAAATTTTCCTACACCGACAATTCTAAATTGTTTGCTAGGAGTAAAAATGTTCCAGCTGGAAAACAAAACAAGAAATCCGAACGGGAGAAAGTTTAAGCAGTTACTGTTGAAGTCTTTCCATAAACCAGACCTCGGTCTTGCCGGGTCCAGATTTTTGTCACTCTCTACGGCGCCGTTACTACGACGTTCTTCGTCAGTAGTCGTCGGCCTGCATGCGCCGTTCATATCGACGGAGGGCGACAGCAACTGGCCGCGTCCTCTGCTGCCACCGCGGGGGCGGCGGGCGAACGATCGATCCAGGGACCCGTAGCCGTCCACTGGCGACCAAGACGAGATTTGTAACGAAATGTTTCTTTCGGTGCTATTTATCATACATGTAACCTAGAAATGTGTAAAGCAATAGTGCCTCTATATTTCTAACTTTTAACTCATTATAAATTATGAGCTACATACAGGAAGCATTGAATAATATAATATGCTTTGCAGTTAAGTTAAATAGTTGAGAAAAAGCAAGGTGATGTTCGTACCGCTAAGGGCCTTCCTCTCGCGAGTGTGGTCGTGTCCGCCGGTGGCCAGGAAGTCCATGAGTTTGTGGTCGTCCTCCTCCGACGGCACCCGCGACCTGCGGCGTCGTAGCGAGCCGTTCGGCGTGACGTCTGTGGCGGTACACACATCCATCATAACGGGCAATCGAATAAAGAAATTGATGCAATAATTATGTTTTTACTCTCACAGTTATGTTTGACCAGATAATTTTGAGCATGAACATAAGAATATACAGTAGAAGTACCCGGAGAGTGGTCTGCTCCAGAGTAAGGGTCAAGGGATTGGGTTGGTGTGCTGAAGGAGCCCACGCGGCGGCGAGTTAGGCGAGGAGAGTTGCACACCGAAGGTTCGTCTTCAGAAGTGAGCCCACCGTTATGCTGCTGCAGCGCTTCCAGCTGCTTTCTACCTTTCTTACCCTGCAGAATAACTTCCTGTGTAATAACTATTTAATAACTAATATACTTTGCCACACTTCCTACTTTTCTTGCCCTCTCACAATATCGGCAGGGGGTGTGTTATGCCGATAACGTTGACTCAATATCAACAAAATTTATTCTTATAAAAAATCAATAAATATTTTACACGAATCTATAGAAATTTAGTACTTATGAGTATTTTGACTAGGTCGCTCGTAGTCGTAGGTCTTCACTGAAACTTGATTTCTGATTTAATTTTGCGAGCTACAAAAAACAACCAAAAGAAAAAAAACCAAAGTTCCAGTTAAAAAAAACAAAGAAAACAACCCAAGAGAAAATAAATCAACGAAAACTAGAAACGTATTTGCCACGAATGAAATTAAACAACACTAAATAAAAGTATAAGTAGGCAGTACAAACACTGACTCTGTTGAAGTGCACTTCAGCGACGTTGATGTGCGGTAAGGGAGGCTGTGGTCTCTCCAGACCATCCAAGGCGTTCAGGTCAGACTCTGACTCGCTGTACGATGCCGGCCGAGGCGCGGCGCTGCCTCCACCTCCAACACAAACATAACACAAACATAACTTCAGCATAAACATTTTTTTTTTTTGAAAATAAATTGTATTTTACTGAAATTATACTCAATTCACTGAAACTGGATTATAAGCGCAACAAAATTTATCCAGCAATTCTCCAAAAGTTACACGCTGTAACTTACTTCCATGAAGCGCAGCATTAATCCTTGCAATTTTATATTATAATGAGAATTCTGTTGATAGCTCAAGTAAATCAAAAATATAAAAATCTGCAACAAGCAAAGAAGGCACTCACTGGCGCCCTGAGACGAGACGCGTCTCTTTCCGAGGTTGTCTTCCCTGGCGCGTCGCCGCTGTTCAGCCTCGACCTCCTGCTGCTTGCGACGGTTGTTCTCAACCGTCGCTGCCTTGAACCTTAACAGCAAAATGCGCTTCGTAAAATATAAAAAGAAAATGCATGCCGTTTGTTTTTAAAACATGCGTGATGCATTGGAAAAAACTTCGGCATTATGCGGGAACAGTACTATTATATATATAGATCATCACCAGAACTACATTTTTATATAGAGGGTTTTTTTCCAGATGCTAGTCAACATTGCAACCGCAATTTAAGTTATGTAAATCAAATGCCATCATTCGGCCAGGTACAAACGCTAATAGTTTTTTACCAATGCATCTAAAAATACTCAACGAGCTACAACTAAGAACAGTTTTCCTGGTGCAGCTCTACAGAGCACGAAAATTTTTAAAACATTAAAAAATCCACAAAATTAGCTAACTTGGAGCAGAAGGCATTGAAGATTTTGAAGCACTCTTCGAGCTTGAAGGTGTTTGGGTCTTCACAGAAGTAGGCGGCGACTTCGAGCCGGACTTTGTCGGCCTCTGCAATGCCTTGCTTGAGGGCGTCGATGTCGTGACGCGCCTGCTGCAGGAAAGGCGTCATCTGACCCAGGAGTTGGGCTGGGGTGCCTGGAGCTTGCAGTTGTGTTGACAGTCGCTCCACACGCGCGTCCAACTGCAGCAGGTCGGACTGTAGCGTCACCATGCTCGCTCTGGACACATGCATATTATTAGCGGGGCGTAACTGATTATTAGGTTACATTGAGAAATGATCATAATTAAGTCCATAGAAGATCAAATATTTGGATGAAACATGGAATTTAAGTGACAGGATGGATAGTTCATTCAAAGTGACAGATTTCAAGGGGAAGAATTATTCCATGAAAAAATCTTTGATACAGAATTAGTGCAATATTTGATCACACCGAAAAAACGAAGTCTAGGAGTAATGAATGTATAAAGCAATTATGAAATGTTTTCAAAACTGGCCAGCTGTGATGTGAATCAAGAATATGGTCAAGAAATACTCCTCTATGGTAACCTGATGCAGATCATCAATAATTAATAGAAAACTTTATCCTGAAAGACGTTTATTTCCTAAGTTTTTCTGAGCTACTTATAGTAAAAAATTCAATTAATCAATACTTAATCCATACTTGGTCGCTTCTTCTAAGCAGGGCATCTCCTCGGGGAACTTGAGCAAGTTGGGGTTCTTCCTTTGCGCTTGCTGAAAAATTATACGAAAATGAGACACAATTATAAAAATAAAGTGAATCATAAAGGTGAAATGAATATTTACCTTCAACATATTTCGGCGACAGTGAAAATGATAATGTCATGATCGAACAACAGAGAGTTCAAGAGTTTTTTTATAAGAGTTTATAAGAGTTTTCATAAGAGTTTTCCCGTGGCGCAAGTAAGCATTTTAACACCGGCTACACTTTGACATTTGTATACTGAATAAAACGATTATTACCTGAATTACGAAACAACTTCAAACATCATGAAAATAATTTCGGGTCTAGTGCCTTAAGTATGCCATCTAAGTCATGTGGACAAAGACATAGTCCTCACCTGTACGACGAAGTGCAGGAGGTTCACGCCGGGTTTGTTCGCACGAATGTCGGTGAGCTTCTGTAGCGACGACAGCTTCATGCCGGCCGCGTCTCCTGCGTAACCGCCCTGGCAGATGAAGAAAAATCTACGTAAACTAATTTCTTATCTCTGCTACGAATCGAAATCATCGTATTAAATTAATTGTATTCCGTTTAATAAGAGATCCGTTACCTTTCGCAATGGAAAACCAGGTAAAAGAGATCAATAAGACGGTTTGTGGTGACTCACGTTATTAAGGAAATTGCCAGCCACAAGGACCATGTAGAGAATCTCGTGGAGTTTGGTGTTTGTGATGAGATCCCGGCCAGCGTAGATAATAGCGTTAATACTCGGGTCAATCTGATCCAGTGTTGATTCGAATTCTTCCTTCAGTAGCAGCGCCTCGATCCGCAGCTTATACCTAAAAGAAGCGGGTGCAGACATAAATTAATTAGTCTCAAGCTTATGAGAAAATTGGCACCAGAAAGAAAAATTCATTGACACAACATGAATTTTTCCGTTTCAAGCAAAGCCATTTAGAACAAATGGCTCTCATTTTCGCGTGAAACTACGTTGAATCTAACGGTAACGAGATAACTGCCTACATCGTATCGAGAAATTTGGGGGGAACTTCATTGCACTGAGCGGCAAAAAATTATTTAGTCTTTTACATATTTTAAAACGAGAGACGCTTTGCATACATATATCTGTATAGACGTAATGTCAGCACATTTCCACAATACATATCCAGTTGTTAAAATCCGGAGCTGACCTTGCCATAATTCCAGGCCTCATGGCCATAATACTAAGGCTTGGAATTTGAGATTTCCTTCAATAAAATGAAAATAAGCTTGTTAAACCTGGCGTTACTCGGTAAGAGGTGCACTGTGCAATAAGCAGTAGGTTAACCAATTGATGCGGGGCAAGATGCTACGATTGAAGATATTTTATCCCACTGAATATAAATACATCGGATTGGGGTGGTTAAAAATATGGCATTCATGATACCAAACTCACAAGTATCCAAGAGAGGCTATAAAGGCACACGAAAATAATCTAAGAAATGTACTCGTGGACGAAAAATGGATTTTTCGCGATCGTTAGAGAAAAAATGAAAGAACAGTCGTCCGTCTCTATACTTACTGAGGCAGTTTCATGAGCGCTATTAGGAACTGTTCTGCCTTCCCAAGTTTATTGCAGGGGCCGTCAAAGTTCCTGAGCATCTCAGCCTCGTCGGGACTCGGCAGAAGTTTGAGCAAATTGCGTAGCTTTTCCGCGCCGAATTCGGCGTGGTCGCCTTCGCGCAGAAGCTCCAGAATTTCTTCGTTGGGTCTGCACAGATTCACGCGTTATAACAGGTAAGATTTCTACCGAAACAAAGTGATCATGAGTCCTTTTTACAGCTCGACCGCTGCTGTGTTAGATTGCGGAGAATGTTTACAAGACAATTTTGAAAATAAATTATTGACAATGAGGCGAATGCACAAAAATTTCATGGAGCATAACACACTACATTAGGCTTTTAGATAAGTTTTAGGAATTCATTTTCAGACAAATCGTGTAAATAGGATGAGAAAACTCACAGGACTACCATTGTATCAGTCAAACGACTCATGCAATAAACAATTTTTGGAAGAAACATCTGTCTAGACAAACATGAACCACTTAGAGCTGCTGTACAACGCTCGAAACTTACACTCGGAACTGTCGTAGGAATATATTGACGTTCAGGCTGCGTTTGCCGTCCAATAAATTGATCTGCAATGGAGAATAATAATAATAATGAGCGTCATAGATAATTAGCAGGTGTAAATGTGGTGAATTTGTAGTAACGAAAACTCCTTTCGTACGAGAAAATCAATATAACAATTTATTAGAACCGAAGAAAGTTTTTTTTTTTAACATTTGAGTCCCTAGGTACTCAATTGAGAGCTTTAACGAATGTCTCCGAACACACACGAGTTGCAAATTTTCACCTGAGAGTTTTGCGATTTGTTTTCCTCCCCGGGAGTGCCAGGCGCTGTCTTGCCCCCAGCAGGAGGCGCCTGCGGTGTCTGTAGGCAGAAGAGGCCCTCGAGCTCCTCCCAGTCAAGAGTGGACGTGGGTGACAGCTTCTCATGACGCACGGCCAGCTTCGTCCAGACATTGTTATTTCCCACCACCTACGAACGAAAAAAATATAACTCGGTACTCACTGCAGTGAGTGACAGAGAGCGCATTTTCTCGTCGACGAAAACTTGAGGTCACGGACGGACGGACGGACGGACAGAAAGACGGACATGGCGAGCACAATAGTGCCCTTTTTCTTTAAAGAGAAAATGCGCTAAAAAGAGCAGAAGAAGCGTACATATAACTTCGTGCCAAAGAATTTCAGTTAACATGTTTGGTCCTTCAGCAGCATCATAGTCAAAGGCTAAAATTATACCCACTTTAGAGTTCGGTATCTTGTTCCAGTTGAAGGTCTTCATTTTGGAGCGCGGCTTTGGCGTGTCCATTTGTGGGAGTCGCACATCAGGTGCGGCTGGGGCAGGAGGCGCCGCGGTTCTTTTCAGCCCCAGCGCAGGACTTCCAGGTGGAGGAGGAGGAGGACCACCAAACGGTGGCGGTGGTGGAACACCACCGGGAGGTGGGGGAGGAGGAGGTGCCCCACCAGGTGGTGGTGGAGGCGGAGGACCACTACCAGGTGGTCGTGGAGGGGGAGGAGCACCACCAGGCAGTGGAGGAGGTGGAGGAGCTCCTCCTGGAGGTGGTGGAATATTTCCTCCAGGAGGCGGAGGTGGTGGAGGAGGTCCACCCGTAAGGGGCGGCGAGCCTGCAGAAGTTGGGGAGTTGGCGACAGGCGTGGTCTCTCTGTGACAGGAGCAGAGGCACCTGCCGGACGACCCGCTCTTGTTGGGCGCGAGGTTGCGGGAGGACGGCGCCCGTAGGAGACGCGCCGTGTCCTGCGCGTCGTCCAGGAGCGTGACGCGATGCATGAGGCGCTCGGCGGTGCTCCACATGACGTCGCTGATGCGGTCACGAGGGTCTATGCGCAAAAGATGCTGAAGGACGTTCAGGAACGGGCCTTCCTGGGGGGTCTCTACCACCTGCACACACGAGGCTACGTGAACAAGGCAAACTTCCGTAATTTTCCACCACAGCTTCATCATTTGTCAATTATTTTAGAAAAACAATTTTTATCTATAATATATGAGTAATTCCGCCATAAAATCTTATTTTGAATCACTTTCTGTGCCTAGACCGGTACAGCACCTGTCGGAGTATGGCGTAGAAGACGTCGACGTGGCTGGTGAGGTCCACACCGTCGGGCCCCGTGATCTGCGCCTCGTCAGTGTCGCGCTGCTCGTCGAACACGTCCAGCTGCACTGCCAGGTCCCGATCCTTGCTCGCGTAGCGTCTGGGCGTACAAAGGACGTCAACCCAGCGATAAGGTTTTAGAAACTAAGAACCCAACAAGGGCTTTTCTGTTGGGTTCTAGAAACTAAGAACCCAACGAAGGTTCTTGGGTTGGGCAATAATTCCTAAAAATATTCAATTACCAAAAGACTTCAACAATAACTGCCTATAATTGTGGGAAACATTAAGAATACAAACTCACCGAAGTTGATTGAGGGCATCCAAAACTTTAAGGCCTGAAAAAAAAGGAAAATAAGTTCAAAGATAGTATACCGTAGTATCTCAGCCTCACGATAAAAAATTCACACTGAGCCAAACCTTCATAAAATATCCCAAGAAAGACGAATGAAAGCCGAGGCCGGCGCTATTGAAGTCGTCTCGAATTTATTAGCAGCATTTTAACAAACTGAGCTTAAGGAGGAGATTTCAACAGACTAAAGATACTGATCTTGTCTAGGAGTCTGAACGCTTTCAGAATACAAATCCAGATCCGAAATTTAATTAGAACATTTGAAGTCATGAACAGTTATGAAAAAGGCATATTAAGTGCGTAAGCAAGTAAACACAATACAATTATTGAGTGACGTGCACTCATTGCAGTTAAATTAACTTACATATCACGAAGCTTTACTTTAATCGTTTCTTAGATAAGTAAGAGTTTATGCAGGGAGTTAAATTATATAAATACCAGGTATTTGCGAAAATTAAAGGCATGAAATGTACGTAGATCCTGCAGTAGAAATTTACGAGTATAATCTGAAGAAAAAATCACTCCGACTAATTTATTCTAATATGAGTTGCAATGATATGCGTAGTTCAGAAATAGAGCACAGATGAACGATAATAACAAACATAACAGAAGACTCACCGATGAACTCATTGCGTATGGATATCCTGGCCTGTAGCTCGGTAGTGGAGATGATGATGCAGTTGATGAAGGCCACCACCACCGTCTTGTACTCAACGCTGGCCGGGCTCCGTAACTCATCTACCACCACCTTGAAGCGGTAGCGCTCCTGCCGCATCTCCTGTAGTGTCAACATGCATAGTTTCGGTAAATAATTATAAATGAATGAAAATTTTAATATTGATTTGATTGCAATCGAATAATAATAAATTCGTACTCAAATACAGGAATTAATAGTGATTATATCACAGTATTTCCCAGTCGAATATCGGCGTTGTAGAAAGCACACGTGTATTAAAGTGAATCAAGATTTCATTTAATTTATTTACCAAATTGAGGCTACAATCATAAACTCCAGTTATGATAATTTCAGGTTTCCAAAAGTTACAACTATCAGCCGAAACCTGGCATGTTCCGTTTAGAAGCTGCAGCACCAATGTTACAAATAACGACAGTTATGTGGTAATGTGTAACATGCCACGTTGCCTCATCACTATCCCCTTCATGCGGATCAAAGTAATTAAGCAATTAGCTGGAATAAACTACGACATAAATTTATAGATGAGACATCGCATCTTGAGTCTATTCCTATACCGGGGCCCATACTTTCAAAAAAAGTTAAGAGATCGTAAGTTCGTCAGCCAATCATTGACAGCCTTTCAAGCAAAATCCACCAATTATAGACAAGAAAATAGAGCGTAAGTACTTACGTTCACTTAGCGAGTTATGAAAGTATGGCCCCAGGAAGTTCTGAGCATTTGAAGGGCCAGATGCTCAAGGGCGTCGCACAAGCAAACACTTGTAGTATTAATCACGAGTAATTTAGGATACCAGCGTTAAACTAACACAATGTTCACGAGTAACATGAGGTTGGAATAATCGCGTCTCTAATTATATGTGAACTGAAGATCCTGGAACAATTTTTGAAGGTTGGGCAATGAAAGTATTTCTTAAGATCGCTGTCGTAAGGGTGTAGTGGATAGAGCGATGAAGTGTTAAATGTTGGGTGCTCTAATCTTAGGCTTGTAGACTTCATTTTTATAATAATACGAGCCACACGGTTTCGCTGCATCTTGAAACATAACCACGTGGCCATTTGAAGTGGCAACACTATTAGGTCGTATTGGTCTCATGCTTGGAACATCAAATATATGTCATTATAAAGGTAATTTTTTTTGCTCAAATTGCAACCATAGAATTCTCCGATATTAGGATTTACGGTAAGAAGATCCATTTGCTATACTGTACTAATGACCTCTCTAAAAAATTTTTTGAAGTACTCGACTAGTCACGATATAGATAGCTTTTTTATAGGCACCAGAAGTGAACAAACCAATGGGCGTTGTTGGATTAACAACGACAGTTATAGTAACACGACGAATTGAAGTATAAAGATATCAACGAATAATCTGAAGATAATAGTCTGCTACACTGTTGATGACAATGGAGATGGAGGATTTTACCTTATAATTGTTGAGAGCCTCGAGAGCCGTGGCGTAGCCATCTGCATTGTACACACACAGCGCTGAGAGGAGCTCGAACACTTGCTTCCTGATTGTCGTGTTGCTCTTGTGGAGCGCTGGTAAAAAAACATAAGTCATAAGTAGGAATCGCAGCACATGGTAAAGGATCTTTGTGGAGTGCTGGTAAAAACATAAGTCATAAGTAGGAATCGCAGCACATGTTAAAGGATGTTTGCGGAGTGCTGGTAAAAAACATAAGTCATAAGTAGGAATCGCAGCACATGGTAAAGGATGTTTGTGGAGCGCTGGTAAAAAACATAAGTCATAAGTAGGAATTTAAAGGATCTTTGTGGAGCGCTGGTAAAAAAAAACATAAGTCATAAGTAGGAATCGCAGCACATGTTAGAGGATCTTTGTGGAGCGCTGGTAAAAAACATAAGTCATAAGTAGGAATCGCAGCACATGGTAAAGGATGTTTGTGGAGCGCTGGTAAAAAAACATAAGTCATTAGTAGGAATCGCAGCACATGTTAAAGGATGTTTGTGGATTGGTAAAAAACATAAGTCATAAGTAGGAATCGCAGCACAAGTTAAAGGATGTTTCAAGAGCGAGAACGAAAATATAAATATTGAATTAACTTTAACCCACAAATATGACGAAAAAATTATGCATAAAAAGTAAATTAATGATACAGCGTAGGGATACAAATGAAATTCTGCCCGTCTAGAATTTTTTAGACTTAGACAATTTTGAACTAATATGAAGAATTTTATTTTGTCACGATTCAAAATAACTGCTTCAGAATTATAAAATACTGGTCACTTTTTTGTGCGCAAGCTTCAGCGCATACCTCGTCTATTCAACAGGAGGCACCGATTGGATTTGATCAATTTATACAATAATTTAATTTGTGATTATTGATTACATTTATTTATTTATTTAACGCTTTTTTAATTTTTAATTATTTAAATAAATTTCATTTAATTTTAACTAATTTAACGCTTTTTTAATTAACAACGAAGCATATAGTGTTTTTAAAACAAATTACTGCAAGAACATGACACTAAAAATAAATTTGTGCTCATCACATGGACAAGGGCTGGGGTCAAGCTACCAGGAAGTCGCCAGCAAGGGACTAGATAGCGACAAAGCTGGGGAAGGAAGCGCCAGATGGGCGCTCGTTGCAGCAGCCCGGAAGAGCGAGCATCCTTGTTCATCCAGAGCTTAACGTGTTTCCCTCACGACATCATAATGACTTAGCTTTCGCTCCACCCACTCAGCCTTGTCGTGTAATGAAGCACAACCATCAGGCATGCATAATTCATATAAAGCTCAGGGATCAATCCGGTCTTAAATTAGGAGCCAGATGATATAAAATGTAATAATTGATGCATCCAGCGTCTGTTGTTTGCGAGGTTGAAGATTAAGAATGCAGTGGAATTGGTTCACTCTGTCTGAGGCTGGGGCATGTGTCGGAACTGTAGGCGTCGTCGTACGCCAAGTCAAAAGTTCGATACGACTGATCCAATTGCGAGGACAGGTGTTGCGAGGACAGGTGTTGCGAGGGCAGGTGTTGCGAGGGCAGGTGTTGCGAGTACAGGTGTTAAGAGTACAGGTGTTAAGAGTACAGGTGTTAAGAGTACAGGTGTTAAGAGTACAGGTGTTAAGAGTACAGGTGTTGGCAAGACAGGTGGCACAATCCTTCCGGCAAGGTAGCAGCTCTGCCAGACGCGCTCTCACGACACACCAGCGCCCGTGAAGCCTCATGACGCTCTACCCACAACAGCTTCCAGTCACACATGCTTTTAACATACTTTAATGTTTAAGCTTCAACACGCAACGATACAACGTAACGAATTAACGCACGGTTGAAAAGTTTGTGAGAACAAATACTATACTATATACTATACAAATACTATAGTATACTATATACTATACAAATGTGTGAGACACATTTGTATAGTATAGTTACAATCATGGTGCAATCCTGATGACGTTGAATGACGCGAATAAGAGGAATGGTACAACTGTTTGTTGTAACATTTCTATATTATTTGCATAAAACAAATTGCGTAGGGTTATAATTTGATTTTAATCGATAAGGATTCATATTTTTTGGTCATCTCATCAACACCATTTGTGCATATTTTATGAAAAGTGTTTCATTCTTCCGAAAAATTACAATTATTTTTTGTTACAATCATCATTTTTTGTTCACATATGTCGGATTTTTTAAATATTTGAACAGAAGAATTATTCATTTGAACAGCTGATGTGCGAAACATGACATAAGAAGTTCTCAAAGATCACTCCACCACGATTACCTCAAACGATGCCATAATTCCTAAGATACCACGCTACAGGCTACCACATATTGGATAAGAACATTAACACATGCTTACCCCAAACTAGAAATAAATCAACCCATGCTGCATATCACCTCATATTGAATGTAAATATGTCGCATATATTGAGAACAAATAATAATCATTCCTTCTTCAGCACAACTGGTGTACCTTAATAAGAAGGAATGCAAATATCGTAAACGAAAATACAACTCCGTAATTAAACTAACCAATACTTCTACGTTATATTGTCGCAGTTTAATTGCCGCATGGAGCAATAGAATTAACTCCGTAATAAAAAAATCTTCTGGGTACCAATTTTTGAAAGGATTACTTTCCATTTTAGTTTCAGAAATCACTGATGCCCCAAAATTGCTAGGGGAAGAACATGAATTACGAAGGCGAGAGGTGCACAGAAGGGCGCCTGACGTGAAGGTCGCCAACGCGGAACACTGGCGACCTCCGCGCCAAGAAGATAATGGCGGCCATTTTCGAAAGTCATTGGAAATTCATCATCAACAAACATGAAGCTTTTGGATATCAGAAAACGATCGACGAAGAGGTCAATATTCGGACAGGGGTATAATTAGGATGAAGTTATACCAAGGACGCAAGAAACACATATACTAATTTACTTTAAATGGACACTTCATGTAGAATGCAAAAAGGACGGTAAGTTAATTTATTCCTGTTTGGATTAGTTTTTCGTATATTTTAAACGTGGATCTTTCTAAACAGAGGTTCATCAGCATTAAACATTATTTAGCGCAGTGGGTGAGTACATGTAGACGAACAATTAATGCATAATAGCGTCATCATACAAGTGGCAGTGCGGCGTAATCGAAGCTTCTGATAGAAGGAAAGCACCGCATGCAGTAAATCATCACCAAACATCTCAGAGTTTCAAACAGTACAAGCAGAAAATGCAGACCGCAGCAAAAGCAGCGGCGTTCAGTGCAGAGGTCAAGGTCCAGCTGAACGTATAGTGGGCAGTAGAAGCTACATCGCATGATCCAGCCATATTGCATAGTCCAGCTACATCGCATGGTCCAGCTATACATCACATGGTCAAGCTACATCGCAAGGTCAAGCTACACCGCATGGTCCAGCTATATCACACATAGTTTAGCGACCTACATCACATATTTCAGCTTTACATCACATGGTCAAGCTACATCGCATTGTCAAGCTACATCACATGATCAAGCTACATCGCATGGTCAAGCTACATCACATGATCAAGCTACATCGCATGGTCCAGCTACATCGCATGGTCTAGAGCATCAGCCTCAACAATGCCATGGACTTTCAAATACAAGTCAACTTTACTTGACAGCGATTCGAGTGATATTTGCTCAAGTTTTCGGCTGCAAAGTATGAGTTGTTCACAAATTTATAATGATTAAAGCCCTCAAACTTGCATATTTTTTACCAAAGCTGGTACGGCAGAGCCGTTCAGGCAAGACATACATTAGTTATTACTCAGCATGTCGAGCAGAATAATTGAGCAGAGTCAGCATGTAGCACATGGAGCGGTATTTTTATCAGCATATTGAGCAGAGTCAGCATGCAGCACATGGAGCGGTCTCTTTTATCAGCATATCGAGCAGAATTAAACAGAATCAGCATGCAGCACACGGAGAGATATTTTTATCAGCATATTGAGCAGAATTATGAGCAGAGTCAGCACGCTTCTTGCCTCCCGTCTCAGCGTCCAGCATGAGAAGGTCAAGGGCGTCGACACAGAGACCATCTGGCCACACAGCTGTGCCTCCAGCTGTGTGGTGTGATCTGTGTGGCTCTTGTGTGGTGTGACCTGTGTGATCTGTGTGGTGTGATCTGTGTGACTCTTGTGTGGTGTAATTTGTATGATCTGTGTGACTCTTGTGTGGAGTGATCTGTGTGACTCTTGTGTGGAGTGATTTGTGTGATCTGTCACTCATCTGTGTGGTGTGATCTGCGTGACTCTTGTGTGGAGTGATTTGTGTAGCTCTTGTGTGGTGTGATCTGTGTGGCTCTTGTGTGGAGTGATCTGTGTGACTCGTGTGTGGTGTGATCTGTGTGACTCGTGTGTGGTGTGATCTGTGTGGTGTGTTCTGTGTGGCTCTTGTGTGGTGTGTTCTGTGTGGCTCTTGTGTGGTGTGATCTGTGTGGCTCTTGTGTGGTGTGATCTGTGTGGCTCTTGTGTGGTGTGTTCTGTGTGGCTCTCGTGTGGAGTATTCTGTGTGGTTTTGTGTGGAGTGTTCTGTGTCGTTTTGTGTGAAGTGTTCTGTGTGGCTCTTGTGTGGAGTGTTCTGTGTGGTTTTGTGTGGAGTGTTCTGTGTGGCTCTTGAGTGGAGTGTTCTGTGTGGCTCTTGTGTGGTGTTCTGTGTGGCTCTTGTGTGGTGTGTTCTGCGTGGTGCTTGTATGAAATATGTGGCTTATGTGGCAAGAGAACCTTACATATATCAGATTGTTGCTGCAGTTGAGAGTGTGTTGCATATGAGATATGTTGCATTACATTGAATTATAAGTAAAATTAAAGTATTCTCGGATGTTTGCCCCAAAAAAACGAATTGCAATGAAGAAATCCTCACTAGATTTGAAATGAAATATCGGGCACTTATGGCTTAGAACATAATTGGATCATTCGAGCTCTACAACACAATATAATCGAGCTTACGTCGCGTGCCATCCTCGACCAGTGGAGGTCTTGTCACTGATGTGACTAGCTGACCAGGCAGGCATGGCTCATTATGCTTTATATATTTAAAATCAATTGTTATCAGCGCAGGTAATGCTAGATGTAGTAATTTGAGTC